CAATATAGGTGATATTCCAACTAATATCAATATAGGTGATATTCCAACTAATATCAGTATAGGTGATATTCCAACTAATATCAATATAGGTGATATTCCAACTAATATTAATATAGGTGATATTCCAGCTAATATCAATAGAGGTGATATTCCAACTAATATCAGTATAGGTGGTATTCCAACTAATATCAGTATAGGTGATATTCCAACTAATATCAATATAGGTGATATTCCAACTAATATCAATATAGGTGATATTCCAGCTAATATCAATAGAGGTGATATTCCAACTAATATCAGTATAGGTGATATTCCAACTAATATCAATATAGGTGATATTCCATCTAATATCAATATAGGTGATATTCCAACTAATATTAGTATAGGTGGTATTCCAATTAAAATTAATATAGGTGATATTCCAACTAATATCAGTTTAGGTGATATTCCAACTAATATCAATATAGGTGATATTCCAACTAATATCAGTATAGGTGATATTCCAACTAATATCAATATACGTGAAATTCCAACTAATATCAATATAGGTGATATTCCGACTAATATCAATATAGGTGATATTCCAACTAATATCAGTATAGGTGATATTCCAACTAATGTCAGTATAGGTGATATTCCAACTAATATCAGTGTAGGTGATATTCCAATTAATATCAATATAGGTGATATTCCAACTAATATCAATTTAGGTGAAATTCCAACTAATATCAATATAGGTGATATTCCAACTAATATCAATATAGGTGATATTCCAACTAATATCAATATAGGTGATATTCCAACTAATATCAGTATAGGCGATATTCCAACTAAAATCAATATAGGCTATATTCCAACTAATATCAATATAGGTGATATTCCAACTAATATTAATATATGTGAAATTCCAACTAATATCAATATAGGTGATATTCCAACTAATATCAGTATAGGTGATATTCCAACTAATATCAATATAGGTGATATTCCAATTAATATCAATATAGTGATATTCCAACTAATATCAATA